TATGGCGCCTGCCGCGCCACTTGGGTCTGTGCACACGGAGGTGCCCCGAGGAAGTTAGGAGCCTGGTGCCGCACCTGCTACTGGCTTACTGCTCACTGGCGGTGGCCATCTCTGGGCTGGTGTCCACAGGTCTCTCCACCCGCTGGGGAGCCCACCGGCAGTACGAGATGCAGGGGAGGGGAAAGGTGACTGATCCACCTACCCTTCCCGCTGGTCTCAAGGCTACTCAGGTGGTCTCTGCTTCCACTTCTCCTCTGCAACCTCCTCCCGTGGAGTCTCCCGTGGACTAAGGTACCCCTCCTTCTGGCCCTCCTCCGATGTATGCTTGTCTGCTTGCTTTTTTTCTTGTAATTTCTCCTAGAATCTGCCTTTTCTGCAGAGACACTCTGTCTGGTGGTGTTTCTTGTCCGTCATCTTCCTCCACCCCCGCCTCCCCCTTTATTCATCTTCTTTGTTTTTCTTCTTAATTTTGTAAAGGAGGGAGCCATTGAACAAATTTCAATGACCCCTGTATAAGCCACTCCCTTAACTAACTACTTGACCTTTTGAGTTTTTTTCCAGAAGTGGTGGCTTTTCTACTAGACAAAGGAGCTGAGACTCTGAAGGCCTCTGAGCAGGCCTCCTGGCAAGATTCAGCATCCCCCACAACCTGCCGGGGCACATGCCCCTCCCTTAAAGGTCCATGATCCACATTAGTTGGGAGACAGAGTTGAGGCAGTTTCTTCTGTTCTCCAGACAAGACGTCTGTTGTATTAAAAATCCCTGGCTTTCTTGGCAATCCTCATTGTCTCAGTAATTGGATCTTTGCACAATGAGCAACTGCACCTAGCCTGAAAACCATTGTGGTTTCAACAACAATTTCATTGCTTTCTACACGTTCCTAAGTGATACAAGAAAGTAAACAAAGGATCTATCTTTCTTCATTGAGTTTTAAAACTACTTGCATATAATTTTATAAAGATACAATGAGTTATAAAAAGAAAAAGCTGATAGGAAAAACAGTATAAACGCAGCTTCAAGAGAACACTGAAAAAATTTAATGAATGAAATAAGAATTAGTGATGTTTTGCCTCCCAAAGCCCACAGTTATACTTCTTTTGTTTATGCACTATTTATATATGATAGTAATATAATTTTGAGAGAATTAGCATAATGTTATAACAAGTGTTTAGGACCAGGCCTGGCAGCTCACACCTGTAATCCCAGCACTCTGGAAGGGCGAGGCTGGAGGATGGGCTTGAGGTCAGGAGTTCGAGACCAGCTTGAGCAAGAGCGAGACACCGGCTCTACCAAAACGTATTAGAAAAAATTAGCCAGGTGTTATGGTGCATGCCTGTAGTCCCAGATACTTGGGAGGCTGAGGCAGGAGGATTATTTGAGCCTAGGAGTTGCAGTAAGGTTGCAGTAAGCTACGATGACACCAGTGCACTCTATCCAGGGCAACAGAGCGAGACTCTCTCTCCAAAAAAAAAAAAAAGGAAAAGCAATAGATGGTCTTTCAACAGGCAGAGATAGAGGGGAAGGCCTCAAAAAGAAGGAATATGCTAAACGGAAGACAAAAAACATACCAAGAATGGCAAGTAGTAGTTGGATTTACCAAGAGACTTAGGGGATATAAATACAAATGGTGGTAGAAACACTAGGAATATAAATGGAGGACAGAACACATCAGGCCAATAATCCCAGACTAAAAAGTTTGGACTTTATTTGGTATACAAGATCATGAAGGGACGTTGAGCAGGAAAGAGACACTCAGACTATGCTTTAAGACAATTTATCTGGTAGCTATGTGTAGAATGGATTGACCAAAAATAAATAAATAAATAAATAAACAAACAAGTGTTTAGATGGTAGGAAAAGGTATTAGCAGGTGGTTAAATATAAGGTAATAAAAGATTGGAGAATTAAAGATGGAGTTCTAAGCAGAGGGTTCCATAGTTATTTAAGCTTACCATTTTTATTTTCTTTAACGTTTTTATCATGAAAATTTTCAGGTACATGAAAAAAAATAATATGAGGAATTTTTTAAAAGTTGATGGAAAACACATATTATGAAAACACTATGCATGGATTCTATGCATAGATTCCAATTTTTTTGCACCAAAATAAACTTGTACTGATTTGTTATAACATGTTTAAACAGGATCTAGTTTGAGTCACTAATAAAGATAAGACATCAGTTTGAAAAGAGCCCCTACCAGAGAAACATGAATTCTGCTAAAATTGAAGCAAGAACTAACATAAAATTAAGGGTGAAGCTTGGGTGGAAGAAAGGTGAAATCACTGATGCTTTATGAGGATAATGCCTCAAAGAAATCAGCAGTTTACCAATGGATGACTCGTTTTAAGAAGAAACGAGACAATATTGAAGATGAAGCCCACAGTGGCAGGCCATCTACATCAACTTGTGAGGAAAAAACCAAACTAGTTCATGCCCTAATTGAAGAGGACCAACAATTAACAGCACAAACCACAGCCAGCACCATAGACATCTCAACTGGTTCAGCTCACACAATTCTGACTGAAAAATGAAAGCTAAGCAAAATTTCCACTGGATGGGTGCCAAAACTGTTGCACCCAGATCAGTTGCAGACAAGAGTAGAACTTTTAAAATTTTCAACATTTTCTGCCATTAATTTACAATCATAGATGGGGGGGGGAGAAAAAAAGAGAAAGAAAATTTAAAATATTAAAAAAAATTTTTAAACAAGTGGAATCAAAATCACAAAGTATTTCTTTGAAAAATTGTAACGGGAGATGAAACATGGCTTTAGCAGTACAACCGTGAAGGCAAAGCACAATCAAAGCGATGGCTGCTATAGGTGGATGTGGTCCAGTCACAGCAAAGTGGACCAGTCAAGAGCAAAGGTCATGGTAACAGTGTTTTTGGATGCTCAAGTCAAAGCATTTTGCTTATTGACTTTCTGGAGAGCCAAAGAAGAATAATATCTGCTTGTTATGAGAGTTTTTTTGTTTGTTTGTTTGTTTGTTTGTTGTTTTTTTTTTTAGACAGAATCTCAACTCTGTTGCCCGGGCTAGAGTGCTGTGGCGTCAGCCTAGCTCACAGCAACCTCAAACTCCTGGGCTCAAGCCATCCTTCTGCCTCAACTTCCCGAGTAGCTGGGACTACAGGCATGTGCCATGATGCCTGGCTAATTTTTTCTATGTATTTTTAGTTGGCCAATTAATTTCTTTCTATTTTTTTGTAGAGACAGGGTCTCGCTCTTGCTCAGGCTGGTCTCGAACTCCTGACCTTGAGTGATCTTCCCGCCTCAGCCTCCCAGAGTGCTAGAATTACAGGCATGAGCCACCGCACCCAGCAATGAGAGTGTTTTGAGAAAGTCAAAGCTTTAGCAGAAAAATGCCTAGGTAAACTTCACCAGAGAGCCCTCCACCATGAGAAAGCTCCTGCTCATTCCACATTAGATGAGGGCAATTTTGTGAGAGTTTTGATGGGCAACAATCCATCTTACAGTTCTGATTTGGTTCCTTCCAACTTATTTTTATTTCCTTTTTTTGGAGATAGGGTCTTGCTCTGTCACCCAGGTTGGAGTGCAGTGGCATCATCATAGCTCACTGCAACCTCAAACTCCTGGGCTCAAGTGATCCTACTGCCTCAGCTGCCTGAGTAGCTGGGACTACAGACATGTGCCACCACGCCCAGCTAAATTTTCTATTTTATGTAGAGACGGAGTATCCTTACGATACCCAGACTGGTCTCAAACTCCTGGCCTCAAGTGATCTTCCCATCTATGCCTCCCAAATTGCTAGGACTACAGGTGTGAGCCACCCACTGCATCTGGTCTATTTCCTAATCTTAAATAATCTTTAAAGGTCACCCACCCATCTTTCTTCAGTTAATAATGTAAAAAGGCTGGATTGACATGGTTACATTCCCAGGACATTCAGTTCTTTAGAGATTAACTAAATGACTGGTATCATTGTTTACAAAACTGTCTTGAACTTGATGGACCTTATATTGAGAAATAAAGTTTATGTTTTTTATTTTTATCTTTAATTCCATTTTCCATGAAGTTCTTGAAGTCCCCTCATATTCTGAGCACTCATAAAACTATTACTTAGATTTACCAATTGTTAACACTCGGGCTTATTTGTTTCATCTATTTTTGTTGTTGACATATTTTAAAGTAAATTACAGACATAATTTTTTACCTTTAAGTAGTCTAGTGAGCATCTCCAAGAAAAAAATAAAAAGATATTTTCCTATGTAACCATAATACCATTGTTACACCTAACAAATTAAAAATTCTTTGATATATAATATTACCTAGTCCCTATTCAGACTACTGTAATATCCCCTAATTGGCTTCTACAGTTGTTTTTTAAATCAAGATTTAAGCAAGGACATATATTGCATTTGATTGCTAGGTCTCCTAAGTCTTTTTCCATCTGTTTATTTATTATAATTTTTTTAGAGACAAGGTTTTGCTCTGTCACTTGGGCTGGAGGGCAGTGGCACAATAGCTCACTGCAACCTCAAACTCCTGGCTTCAAATGATCCTCGCACCTTGGCCTCCCAAACTGCTGGGATTACAGGTGTGAACCACTGCACCCAGCTCTTTATCCCTGTAAAGCAGTCTGTCTGCCTCTCATTTTCCCCTCATAACAATGACTTGCTGAAGAGGCCAGGACAGTTGTCTTATAGAATATCTCAATACCTAGATTCATCTGATCGTTTCCTTTAGGTATCATTTGCTCTGTTCTTCTCTCCCCTATAGTTCCTGTAAATTGGAAGTTAGATCTAACCCTTGATTGAATTGATTTTAAATATTTTGTTATTATTATTATTTTTGGGACAAGGCCTCACTCTATTGCCCAGGTTAGAGTGCAGTGTCGTCATCCTAGCTCACAGCAACCTCAAACTCCTGGGCTCAAGGGATCCTCCTGCCTCAGCCTTCCTAGTAACTAGGACCACGCCCAGCTAATGTTTCTAGTTTTTGTAGAGACAGGGTCTGGCTCTTGCTCAAGCTGGTCTCAAACTCCTGACCTCAAGCTATCCTCCTGCATCAGCCTCCCAAAGATCTGGGATTACAGGCTTGAGCCACCCAAGCCTGGGTATGATTTTAAATACTTTGACAAGAATTGTTTTGCAGGTGATGCTGTTCCTATTGCATCACACCAAGAGGAACACAATGTGTCCTTGCCACTATTAGCAATGCTGAGAGTGATCCCTGTGTTAAGGTGGCAACAGCTTCCCCTGAACAATTATGTTGATTGTGGGATAACAGTTTAGCATTATGCAGGTATACAATTCTCCAGCAGACTTTTAACTAAAGGTTTTGGCATCTACTGATAATTCTTGTCCAAATCCCTATTTCATAAGGGCTGGAAAGACTTAAATTTCATAGTTCTATCATTTGTCCTGCATTTATTAGCTGGCACTCTTCTCTAAAGAAAAGCTTTCTCTGATCGCTTACAAATGTTTGGTTACACTGAAATACATTTTCTACTGGAAAGGCAGGATAAATGATTAATTCTTTCCCCTCAATGAACAATTCTCTAATAATGGGTTAGCACGATCAGCTCAGCTTTGGCTGGCGGTTGCCCCTTCAGGCTTGCTCCTGTGTCCCTTTGACACAACCCTGTCATTGAAATCTTCTTTGCTTTTCTTAGTGAAAGGTTTCCCAGGAGTGTCTTGTACTATCCCTGCTTCAAACTTGGAATCAGCCATTTCTCCCACAGCCCCTGGATCCTTCCAATGGTGTGGAGAAGTCAATAGCTCATTGTTTTGACCCTCTGTCTTGTGGGGCACTCATTTCATCGTCTCCAAACTAGAACAACAATAATAGCTTTGTTTACTTGGTGTTACCTACACCCAAGGCATTCTACATACATTATATTTATGCAACCAGTTTATGGAGAAGTTTCGGTTCAGTGAAGCATGAACATAAGAACGTGATCTAATCTCTCGTGCCATCCCCGCCTTCAACCGTGCTCTGACAAGGCTCCTTTCCCATGTCCAAATGGCATTTGGGGCACGTGCCAATTCTTCTCCAGCACTTTCAGTGAGTAAAACAATCCAGTTTAGTTTAAATCTTCATTTTTCATACCCAATTCAAAGCGATCCCCCTTCCTCTTCGTCGAGTAGGCTCCAGGGCATGGTGCATGGCGTGTTCTGCTAACTGACCCTCTCCACACCTTCCACTTCTAGGTTCTAGCTCTTGAGTCCTGGAGAATGAAAAAAGATGGTGAGAACATGCAAATGTCTTTTTTTTTTTTTTGAGGCGATTCATTTTTAAAAATTGAGATATAATTCATATACCATAAAACTCTCCATTTTAAAGTGTACAGCTGAACTTTTAAAAAAATATCCACAAGGTTATGCAACCATCACCACTATCTAATTCCAGAATATTTTCATAACTCCCAAAAGAAACCTAGTACCCATTAGCAGTCACTCCCCAGTCCCTCTCTCTACATCAGCCCTAGGCAACCACTAGTCTATTTTCTATCTCTATGGGTTTGTCTATTCTGGACATTGCGTACGAATGAAATCACACAATATGTGGCCTCTTGTTTCTGCCTACTTTCACCTAGCATAATGTTTTCAAGATTTATTATTCATATTCCACTGTATGGATATGTCACATTTTATTTGTTCATTCATCAGTTAATGAACATTTGGGTTGTTTCCACTTTTGAGCTATTATGAAAAACGCTGCTATCAATCTTTATGTGTGGACAAGATTTTTTGCAGCCCAGGCACGGTGGCTCATGCCTGTAATCCCAGCACTATGGGAGGCTGAGGTGGGAGGATTGCTTGAGGTCAGAAGTTCAAGACCAGCCTGAGCAAGAGTGAGACCCCATCTCTATTAAAAATAGAAAAATTAGCCAGGTGTGGTGGTGTGTGCCTGTAGTTCCAGCTACTTGGGAGGCTGAGGCAGGAGGATCAAGTGATAGAGGCCAGGAGTTTGAGGCTGCGGTGAACTATGAAGACACCACTGCACTCTACCCAGGGCGACAGAGTGAGACTCTGTCTCAAAAAAAAAAAAAAGATTTTGAATGGATGTATGCTTTCAATTCTCTTGGGCATATATCTAGGAATGGAATTGTTTGATCATATGGAAGCCTATACCTACCGTTTTGAGAAATTGAAAAACTGTTTTCCAAAGTACCTAGACCATTTTACATCTCCAGAAGCAGTATATGAGGGTTCCAATTTCTTCACATCCTCACCAATACTTGTCATTATAATATTTGCTTTTCCAGTTTGTTTTTATTATAGCTATCCTAGTATGGTATCTCTTTGTGGTTCCTATTTGCATTTCTCTAATGACTAATGATGCTGAGGATCTTTTCATGAGCTCATTGGCCATTTGTATATCTTCTTTGGAGAAATGTCTATTTAGATTTTTTTTGTTGGTTTTCAAGTTAGGTTAATTGTCTTTTTATTATTGAACTGTAAGAGTTCTTCCTATATTCTGGGCCAGGAGCAATGGCTCACGCTTGTAATCCCAGCACTTTGGGAGGCCAAGGCAGGAAGATTGCTTGAGCCTGGGAGTTTGAAACGAGCCTGGACAACATTCTGAGACCTCACCTCTGCGAAAAATAAGAAAAAAAATTAGTTGGACGAGGTGTTGTGCACCTGTAGTTTTAGCTACTTGGGGAGCTGAGGCAGGAGAATCTCTTGAGTCCAGGAGTTCAAGGCTGCAGTGAGCTATGATCATGCTACCATACTCTACCTTGTCTCAAAAAAAAAAAAAAAAAAAGTTCTTTATATATTCTGGATACTAGGCCCTTATCAGATATACAATTTGCAAATATTTTATCCCATTCTGTATGTTGTCTACTTTTTTTCTTAATAGTGTCATATGAAGCATAAAAGTTTAAAGTTTTGTTGTAGTCCAATTTATCTGTTTTATCTTTTGTTGCATGACCTTTTGGTGTCATATCTAAGAAAGCATTGCCTAATCTAACAAGGACATGAAGATTTACTCCTATATTTTCTTCATAGAGTTTTATAGTTTAATTTTACTTATTTATTTATTTTACATACTTTAGGTGACTTTTATTTAACCCTTTCTGAAGTATAGAGTTCAAACTTTCAAAAATATTAATACCTAAATGAACAAATTCATTAGTTTGAAATAAATACATGGAAAATCTTTTAAGATATTTTTTATAACCCCTCAATCACACTGTGAATTTCTTTCAACCTATTATAATCAAACAAAAGAAATTTTTTTAATTCCCAAGTCTCAGGAGTAAAATAATTTTTAAATAGTGTAGTTGTTTCTATTTATAGGAATGAATGTGTTGTATTCAAGTGAAACAGCTTCTTTTTACAAAATTTTGTGTTTATCATAATCAAAAAGCATTGACTGAGTTCCTTGGAAGAAATTCTATTTGCTTTTTCAGAAATTAGTAATGAATCAAAGTTCATATCCTTAAGGAAGCTCACAAAAGATTTTAATTTTCCATTAGTTTTTTTGTTATTAATTCCATAGTATCTAAGATATGTCAAATTGAATCATTTAGTAATCTACAATAAGTTACTTTCTTTAAAAGTTTTAAGTTTCCAAAGATGTCAAATTAAAATTATATCAAATTTAAAAGTTAAGTTATACACAAAAAATTATGAAAGCAACTTTAAAAATCTTGAGATGAGAGTTTTATAGTTTAGATCTTACATTTAAGTCTTTGATTCATTTTCAGTCAACTTGAAAATTTTTGCTTTTAAATAGACTTTATATTTTTAAATTCTTTTTTGGGGGGGCTAATTTTTCTATCTTTAGTAGAGACAGGGTCTCACTCTTGCTCAGGCTGGTCTCAAACTCCTGACCTCAAACGATCCTCCCCTCCAGCTTCAGCCTCCCAAGAGTGCTAGGATTACAGCCGTGAGCTACCGCCCTGGCCTACACTTTATATTTTAAAGCAGTTTTAGTTCCATATCAACTTTTACATATGATGTGAGGTAGGAGTATAACTTCATTCTTTTGCATGTAGCTATCCAGTTATTCCATCACCATTTGTTGAAAAGACTATTCTTTTCCCATTGAATTGGCACCCTTATCAAAAATCAGTTGAACACATATGTATGGGTTTATTCATGAACTCCCAATTTTATTCCATTGGTCTATATGTCTATCCTTGAGCCAGTAACATACTGTATTGATTATTGTAGTTTTGTAGTAATTTTTGATTGTCGTAGGTTTGAAATTGGAAAGTGTGAGTCCTCCAACCTTGTTCTTTTTTTTCCAAGATAGTTTGGCTTTTCTTGGTCTCTTGGATTTCCTAAAATTTATTAATTTTAGGATCAATTTGTCAATTTCTCCAAAGAATCTGGCTAGGATTTTGAAATAGATTGCATTGAATTTGTAGATCAATTTGGAGAGTATTGCTATCTTATTATTTTTCATTTATTTTATTTGATTTGATTTAGATGAGGTCTTGCTCTGTGGCTGGGACTAGAGTGGAGGGGCATCATCATAGCTCCCTGCAACTTCAAACTCCTCGGCTCCAGTGATGCTTCTGCTTCAGCACCCTGAGTAGCAGGGACTACAGGTGTGTGCCATGCCTGGCTAATTTTTCTGTTTTATAGAGACAGGGTCTGATTATTGCTCAGTAATCTTTTTTTTTCTTCTTTAATTTATTTTCTTCGGAGAGACAGAGTATGTCTTTGTTGCCCAGGCTAGAGGGCTGTGGCATAATTATAGCTACTGTACTCTCAAACTCCTGGGCTTAGGTGATCTTCCTGCCTCAGCCTCCCAAGTAGCTGAGACTATAGGTATGCACCACTATGCTTGGTTATTTCTTTTCTTTTCTTTTTTTTTTTTGTTTGTAGTGACAGAGTTTTGCTATGTTACCCAGGCTGCTGTCGGACTCCTGGTCTCAAGTGATCCTCCTCCTTGGCATCCCAAAGTGCTGGGATTACAGGTGTGAGTCACCATCTTAACAATAGTAAGTCTTCTGGATCATAAACACATGATGTCTTTTCATTCACTTAGGTCTTCTTTAATTTCTTTCAACAATGTTTGGTCTATAACTCTAATACTTTTTTTGTTAAGTCTATTTCCAAGTATGTTATTCTTTTTGAAACTAGTATAAGTGGAATTGTGTTCTTAACTTCATTTTCAGAGGAAATATCTTTTTATTTCACTGGATGCATTTGGAGTCCTCTGCTAGTTGCTGTTTTACTTAGTAACACTGACAGATCAGAGGGGCCCTCTGTGGGCAGGAGTTTGAGACCAGCCTGGGCAACAGAGCAAGACCTTGTCCCTAAAAAAAGTAATAATAAAATAAAATTAGCTGAAATTATCTTATGTGTCAATAGAATAAATCTCAAAAACAGTGTTAAGCAAAAAAAAAAAAAAAAAAAGCCTAGCAAGTTGCAGAAAAATATATACAATATGATAGCAGTTATAGAGAGTTTAAAATATGAAAATAATACTATCACTTAGAGACACATTTGTATAGAACAGGTAAAGCACAAGAAGAGGTATGAAAATATAAACACCAATTTCAAGGTCGAGGGAAGAAAATGGGATCAGGTGAGGCTACACAAGAAGTTTATCATAGTCTCTATTCTCTTTTGTGCCTGAAATATTTCATTAAAAGCAAGCAAACAAAACCAGAATAACTCCCAGCATTGTGAGATAGCTCCAAGTTCAATCTTCTGTAACTCTTTTATTCAATTCTAATTTCAGCCTACTGCTTCCAAAAAGGGTTGTCTGCTCTCAGCCTAGTGACACAATCGGTTGTTAACTTTAACCACATGACCAAGACTCTTTGTCTTGGAGAAGCAAAGACTGACTTCAGTCAGCAGGTCTGTACAGGCATTTCTTCCCACTTTATAGGCAAGACTTTCTGTTCAAAATACTCGGATCTCTTTGCCTAAGTTACTGAGAAAGTGGTATTCAGCAGCTGGATATAAGATACCTTTTGGAACATGGGTTCAAAGTATGGGTTGTCAAATTTACTTGTCAGCCAGCTCTAAGATTACTGAAATGGACTCAGGATGATCTAGTTCTAGTTTTGTATCTGTTACTAACCAGGAATGTGGGACCTTAGGTGAATCATTTTAGTGCTCTGGCTTTTAGTTTTCTCACAGTAAAGTAAGGGTGGTGGATTAAAAGATCTCTAGGTTACTTTCTAGACCTAACTTTCCAAGATTCTAAGGCAGAATTTGAGGATCTGTCAAAAAATTCCTTGGCTCTGAAGTTTCTCTC